TGTGCTGTCATCTAGAATGCACAAAGCAATATAACTTGCACCCTATGGTGATTTCAGTGCTCTTCCATGGTAGTTTTGGCTTCACGCAACATTTGCCGAGGCTGCGGGTGTTGGATTTGAGCTCCCTTCCGTAAGATACCGCTTTGTGTATATGCTGTGTAGGACCTTGCGATGCCGTGGAACTTTCATTTGCTGTCTGTGTATATGTGTTTCTGTTGCGCTTATCTCTATATGTATCTATATCTTCTTGCCTTTGCGTGTGGTACATCTTCATTAGTCATAAGTTTAATTTAAAAATTTAAAATGTTGGAGTGATTATCTTTTAATATGGCTCCATGTTCTTTTTTTTTAGCTTGATTAAACGTTTATTTTATTTTTGTTTTTTTCTTTTTATTAGTTTATTGGTCCAATCTAGGTATACAATACAGTTACATTCATTATTGAGATCCTGTACCTTTACGTGATAGGTCTTGATTCTCTTTTCTCATGTTTTTTTCCTCTCCCTTATTACCTTTCCCCCACCCTTCCCACTTTCCCTACACCTTTAGCCCTTTACTTCCTATTTCACTTATTAATTATATCATTAGGATCTTGTGTACTTTTATAGTTTTTCACACCAGTGAAACTATTCAGTATTTCAGTTAAAGAAATCTCTGTATGAACATTAAAAATAGAGAATCCTAAAATAAAACTAAAAAGTAAAGTAAAAGAGAAAAGGCAATGATGTAAAATTAAAATAATCCTTAATTCGGAAGACGAAAATGATCCCTGAACATATTTAAATTGCTTCTTGCTCTTGTAGTCTTATCTTATTCTTTTTTCTCATTATTTAGAAAATACTTTGTTAGTTTCTGTAATCAAACCCATGTATATATGACCTTACATATTTAATACAGTGTGTTAACCCTGTACAAATGGAAAAAAATTAACATTTCTAGATGAATATGGCTGTTAATTTCTGTACAATGAATGGCTCCATGTTCTTTGTATACTACATTCCTTAAGAATAATACATACTATCTTATGTCATATTGATACTTGCTAACAACTGAAAAAGGACTTGCAGAGCCTGCTTACATGATATGTACAGTAAAGCAGTAAAGTCCAAATTTAGGACTTTTTGCATAATCTCACGCAAAAAGTTACAAAGTTTTTTCTTTTCTCCTTGTATGCCAGTAGTTTAGAACTGAATTCATATGTAGCAATCATTGTCTCCCACTATGTCTTTTATGTATTTTGCATTAATAGACACTTCATTTTCCATGTTGTCATATATATTTTTGAACCACTTAAGTAGTCTTAGGTTGATTCAGACGTCAACCCGTGAGTTAACTGGTGGAGTTTCATTTAAAGTAGACTGAGATTTCTTGAAATTTGGTGGGATTGTCATCAAGTAGTCTGAGGTTGTCCCAAGGAGGAGACAGGGACCTCAACTTGCCTGAGGTATGTTCTTGACTCATGGTTGCAAAAAAGCATTTCAGGATGCTCAGGGTGCAGTGTAGGGAGACTTATTGGGAAGAGTTAGAAAGTGTGAGGAAATAGGGAAGGCACTTCAGCTGGAGAAGCTGCCCAGGGCACAGCTTTGATAAAGAGGACGAAGCTGGCTAGTTAACAAGGGAGCACATCCAGCTTTTAAGGAGGTGGGGTGGACTAAGGTCTAGTTGATCATTATCTCATTTCTGATTGTGCAAGAAGGCTCCAGGAGAGCTCCTTATCACTGAAACTGGTCCTCATGAGATGATTGTTTCTACTCGGAACAGTCTCAGTGGTTTGGAGGCTCTGCTAGAATCCAGAGAGGCAGTCAGTGTACGGTAGTGGCTAGAGACTTCTGGATCCTCATTGCTGTTGAATGTCCCTGTAATCTCTTAACTTGGTGTCCTCAATCCTGAAGTGGGATGAGATAGATAGGTTATGGAAATTTAAGGGTAATCAACCTTTTATTGCTAGCTTTTCCAAGGATACTCTTTAAATAATTAACATACCTGTATGCAGAATTGAGCGGGATTTGACCCAAAGTTTCAAAGATAATAAAGGAAACAGATACAAAACAAATATCAAGTTTTGTTCTGATATTTTTACCTACTGGACATCTGTTGACCCAAATGATGATTTTTTTTTTTTTTTTTTTTAATGAACAACTGCTTTTAAGTCCCTAACTGCTTCTTTGGAAGAAACCACAGATCATGCCTATACTGAATAACAGGTTAAGACCCAGGAGTTTTTTTTTTTTTTCCTTATAGTAGTATGTAGTCTCTGACTACATAGGAATGATTATTTCTAGTGTGTTTATAGCATTTTAAGGAAACTAAACATTAGATATACATAAATATGCATCAGCTTTGGAGGAACTTTGTATAACCTAAATAAAGCCCTATGCGGTTCATTTGGATTTAAAGTATAGCAAATTGAAATAATTGCAAAAATTATTCTCACTTTTACTAATATCTCTTCAAGATCTTAGAAAATCGTCGTATACACCACATATGGCGGCTTGTTTGTTACGTGTTAAGTACACTTATGGTGGTGAATCACATCTCGATCCCTCCTACACCCCCACCCCGCTGCATTGTCTCAACCCCCTTCCATCCCCACGGTCGCAGTTCCTGGGTCTTTCTTTCCAATAATCTTTCCCTCTGCACTGTTCAGGAGCCAGGTAACCTCTATATCTCACACCTTTACTCTCAAGTAGCTGTGGTCTTTCTCTGTAGTCTGCAGCCTCTTACTTCCCATTTACTTCCGGCTTCTCTTTTTGCTATCATTCACATAATTTTTAAAAATTCTATTCCTCTTAAAGATGAGTGAAAGAATAACTGACATTGTGAAATAGGAAGAAAAGGGCTAAAGGTGTAGGGAAAGTGGGAAGGGTAGGGGAAGGGTAATAAGGGAAAAGAAATAAATGTGAGAAAACAAAAAGATGGAAATAAAGTGTTTGTCAAGGAGAGGGGAGGAGAGGGTGAAGGGAGGGCAGGGAAAAAACGAGAACCAAGACCTGTCATGTAAAGGCGCAAGATCCCAATAATGAATGTAACTGTACTGTATACCTAGAATGTACCAGTAAACTCAGTTAAAATAAAAAAGATGAGTGAAAGAGAAAGACTATGCAAAATCAATGTATTTTTTTTGGGAAATGGAAGGCTTACAGTACTAATTAATAAGTTTTGTCTTTATTCTAAAAAATGCATAAAATATAATTCCTATTACATTTATTGTTAATATTAAGATAAGAATAAAAAATTATAAATTCCTTTGAAAGTAAATTTCCTATTCACAGGGAATAGATAGAAATAGTAGAGTCAAAAAAGAGTGGAATTCATTAATTTGAGAAAAATGTAGAGTAGAATATCAGAAAAAGTTCAGAAGATCACAAAACTGTACTATTTTGAACAACTATGCACCCTCAGAGAAAAATGATCAGACGGTCACAAAGGACATTGACTAATAAGTTAGCTACATAATATTGGTGAAGTCCAAAGTAAATTTAGAAATAAATAAAGAGAATTGGCAAAAACTCTATTTGTTGCACATTAAACCTGGTTGAACATGTTCTAGTTCTTTTAAACTTTTGTATTAGTGTATGTTTGTGGTACGTGTGGAGTTTACGTTTCTTGTGTGGACTTGGTACTAACACATCTTAATTCCCTTTTTCACCTCCATTCCCCTCCCGCTTCCCTCCGTCTGTTGTTCTCTGCATTTGAGAAAGCTCCGTCTCCCTGCTTCCTATGATACGTCTTTTATCTTGCGCCTTATGATTTGGGTTTCTCTTATAATGAGAACCATGCACTGTTTAACTTTGTGTGTCTGATTTATTTCACTTAACGTTATGATTCAGGGGGCATCCATTTTCCTCCAAATGACTCAGGTTTATCTTTCTTTATGGCGGAAGAGTACCCTGTTCTATGTAAATACATCATTTTCCTTATCCACTCGTCTGTAATGGACGTATACGCTGCTTCCGAGATTTACCTGTTATGAACTGTGCTGCTGTGGAAATGGCTATGCGTGGATCACTGCAGTGTGATGCCTTTAGTGCTTTGGGGGGATCTCTCGAAACGGAAGAGCTGGTTCAAATGGGATTTCTCGTTTTAAGCTGTTGAGGATTCTCCATACTGCTTACCATAGTGGTTGTAATAGTTTACATTCCTACCATAATGTGGAAGAAATCATCTTTCCCTGCACCCTCATCAGCATTTGTTATTATTTGATTTCTTAATGACGGGCATTGTTTCAGGGGTAAGATGGAATCTCAGTGCTATTTTAATTTGCATTTCTGTAACCTCTAGTGATGTTGAAAATTTCTTCATGCATTTACTGGCCGTTTGTACTTCTGTGAAGTGTGCTTTTCATTTGCCCATTTATTGACTGCTTCTTTTATTTTGGGGGGAGTTTGTTACTATTAAAGCTTCATTAAGAGAAATCGATAGAGATTTTATATTTTTTATCAGTTGAATACATACTAATGTCAATGTATAGGAAATTTTTTCTTAAAACTCGTTCATGTGTTATTTTGATCCATTTTCTGTGTGCAGCAAGCCTTTGGAATTTGTCTTGAAATAAAAGATTGAGTCAAAGGTAAAATTGCTGTGCTTTTGATAAATGGATTCTTTCTAAGACCGACAGTCTTGGGACCCCACCAGTCACTATTTTCTTCTCTTAGCTTTATGGTCTCTGGGTTTTTGAAGTACCATCCCTGTACCACACGCCCCAGGGTCTGGCCACCCCAGAGTATGCTTGCCGTGCAAACTAAGGTGTGTCCTTGCTCGTGTTGGCAGCTGGGAAAATGATCAGCACTCTGGGGCAGTGGTTCCAGCGGACTTTTGGACTTAATGTCAGCAGTTGCAGGGTTTGGTTACTGTCTTCTCTTCCAAGGCATTTTCCTCATCCATAAATAGGTTGGTTTGTTAGTCTTTGCCTCTGCAGCCCTTTGCTAAAGGGGAATTGAAATGTAAAGTCAGCTTGGAGTTGATTAACCATGGCACCCTTATTTGCGGGGGTGGGTGGCGCTATGTGTCCCATTAGCAGTGCACCACAGGTCTTGGGCAGCCTCCTTGTTTGTCTTGGGGTGGGGGGACCGCACATTCAGTGTGTGCCTTTTTGCTTACCAGGAGGCAGGACATCCAGCCTCTCGCAGGGGCCTGTTTGCTTGCCTTGTGTAAGGTGCCTCCTGTCTCGTGTCTGCAGTGGGTCGCCTTCTCCTTTTCTAGCTGTTGTAGTGATCCTAAAATGATTTAGGGAATTTTAAACCAAGTTTGGAAGAGAATCACAAGTAGGATTAGTCATATTTGAAAAGAGAACGCTGAAATATGATTTTTGTAAGAAAGGATGCAGACCAGTACCTACCTCTGGTCTTCACAGTGGCAGTAAGAACTGACTTATGTATCAGACATATTTGGTTAGTCACTGAGAAAAATTATTATGTGACATTGAAAAGTAGAAGTCATTTTTAAGAATAGATATTGTGGGGCCGGGAATTTAGCTCAGTGGTGCTATCGCTTACCTCACAAGTGCAAGGCCCTGAGTTTGATCCTTGGCACACCCCCCAATAGACGTTGTGTTCAATCACATTCTGTGGAAGTCTTATAAAAAAATTCATCCTTGAACTTTAATAACTTTGGAGGGAAGAATAGCATGCTTGAGAATATGTGTATAGTTTTTCTTCCCCAGCGTCAGTGATTTTTATGATATAACTAAGTTTTGTAAGATCGCACAAAGTGCCTTCGTTCCTCTTTGTTGATATAAGTGATTTATTTCTTGTTTCTGGAACTTACTACTTATGCTTCTGCTAGGTTCATGAATATTTAAAATCCATTACCTAATCAATAGGCACATTTTTCTCCTATTAAGTTTGGCTAAGTTAACATTTGGCCAAATCAGAATGGTTGAATAAGGTTCTACTAATCACTAAAATGTGCCTTTTATAAGGTATTTGCTAGGTCTTGTATTTCCTTAGAGAGTTAATGTCCCAATGAAATTATCCTAAATCAGAATTATGCTTGCTTCATTTTGAAATAGATTGTATATCTTTTAATACATATTGAAGCTCTATTTTTCACTGCTATCACTCCATTTATGTATTTTTATATCTGCCTTAACCCTAGTATGGCTGGACTAAGGTTGTTTGTTAATTAATATTATCTCCTGCAACTATACCACAATCATGTCCTCTGCCCATAATCTTCTGCTGTAACTTGCCTTGGATGAGAAAACATATGAACCCTGAGTCATTCTTTCCTGCTGATCCTGGCATGCATATATCCTTACTAATGCCAGGAAAAGGAAATTCGAGATTGGCTTCCCTTCATTTCAATGCAGACAAATGCAGGATTTTTAATGTATTACCAAGAAATTATATATAATACATTTGAAGAACTATTGGTGCTATAAATAGAGAAGATTTCTAGTTATCCATGAGTTCCCTCCTTTTGGCCTTTTAAATTTCAGTTTTAGAAACAAACGCTCAAAAGGATCAAAATTTAGCACAAGAACTTGGAGACTGAAGGAACAAAGAACTTTTGCCTAATGGCTTTAGCGGGTAAAGTTACTTCCAAGACTTGTTAGGCTCTTTTGGTTAGTACCACAGAAAGAATACTTTGCCTCTAGGTAGCATGGTAGCATTTATACAGAACTCAGAATAATGTGTGACTTTCCTTTAATTAGGAAAAGATCTATTTTGTTTTTGTTTTTGTTTTTTTGAGACAGGGTCTTACTATGTATGTAGTTGAGACTGACCTGGAACTCGCTACATAGCCCAGGCTGGTCTCGAACTCACAGCGATTCTCCTGCCTCACCTTCCCGAGTGCTGGGATTACAGGCGTGCGCCCCCATGCCTGGCAGGACAAGATCTATCTTGTCAGCCTTTCGATCTTGTGGAACTATCTCAATGCTTTTCATGGCTTCATCTGAGCCTTAAAGTGAGAAGGAATGACCTCTGTTTCCCCTGTTTACCTTAAAATTCCCTGTCCTCACTCACCACCACGTTGCCTGTGGAACTTTTGACTTCTTTCCTTCATGATTTGTAAGCCATATTCCTTTGCTGCCTGATGGTACATCTGATGCTCAGTGTAGTCTTGAAATGATGAACCATGGTGCATTGAAATGCATTTCACTAGTGGCTTTAGTTATGACCAGTCTAGAAGGAAAAGTGGTGGAGAACTCTGAATTGCTAATAGCACCCCTCACAGTTTAAACAGGTGCTTCTGTGGAGAGCCATCTTTCCAGCTAGTATGGTTCCTGGAATTACTGGAGTGTCCCTTTACTCCTAAACTCCTAAACTACCATAGTATGTGAAAATTCCTCTGGATGTGTTAAGCTAATGATAACTTCTTGAACTATCGTGCTCACATTTACTTGAGTTATTGCTTCTTCAGTTTATGTGGACTTTTGTCTTTTTAAAGGTCTACTGCCTTTGCTTACCAAGGGAGAACATTTACATCAAAAACTCATTTAATCTCTCTAGATTCTTTAAAAGGCTTAAGTAACTTTCATATCTACTATTGAGCATCAAAAAATCTTTTTTATATAAAAATGTCATATATACCTTGAAAAGAAGTCTTTGGGAACTGGGCTGCCTTGTTGACAAAATGTCTCTGTTTATGGAAAATGGTACCAGTGTGTGAACGAAAAGGCCATGATTTGGATGTCATTTGGCTTAAACTGGAACATAAGTCACACTCTGAGTTTTTTTTTTCCTTTGTCTGGTGGGAGATCAATACTGTCTAGACATGGTTTCATTAGGGCTTCGCATTTACTAAGGTAGACTGAGATTCCTGTAATCTGGGCTGGTGGTGGGCATTTGTGTGGCCCATTACCACACAGAATCTAGGTCCATAGGAGTCAACTCTGTATGAAAGCATCATCCTACTCACCTGACGAAAGACTGTGCCCACGCATGATTCTGTCAAGGTTTGGAGTCCCACAAGTTCTGGGAGCCGCTTTCTTGGATATTCTCGCATACATGATGACAACTGAATAGAGCCAAAGGGAATCGTTGGAGCATTTGAATTTCCTGTACTCTACAAAACATAAAACCAGAGACATATGCAATTCACATGTAAAGTCTTCAACCCATCCCTGAATGCTAGGTACCCTTTCTGCCAGTCTTCCCATTAATTTCTTCAAACAATATCATCATGTATAGAAATGCCACAGTTATTCTTTTTTAATGTTCATTTTTTTTCATTTATGAGAATTGTTCATCTTTTAAAATATATTTTTAAATTGAAGTTTATGATTCCTCACCTAGGGTCAGAACATGAAAGTCTTATATTTTCTCTCTTAGAAATTCGGGCAGTTGGATGTGCTGCTCTGAGTGGAATCTTAAATCCTTCATTTGTGGTTACTTTTTGGCATTTTGCAGGGGAGTGAAGCAATGTCTGACCCGCTGAAGGCCAGAGGTGGCCCAGCCTGACCAGGTTTCTGACAGTGGAATAAATATCTGTTATTTGTTCAGTATCTTTAGTTTTCAACTTTGAGCAAGATAAGCATAGACATTGAGAAATAATGCTGATTATACAAAGGAATGCTTGTGATAAAAGATCTCTTTCTGGGAATTTAAATGTTCCAGTAGATTAACATTATTGATCATTCTCTTTCCACATAGTCTACAGATGATTTTAGAATCCTGAAACTATCATTCTCCCTTGTCTAGTGTAATTACCAGAACAAGGAATAATGTAATTAAAAAACAACAAGGATGCATTCTAATTGTTCTAATAAATTACGTTAATACACAATACATGCAGTACTTTTCAACAGGAATTTATTTAAGAGATTGACAGCTTGTCCTTTACTGCCACACTTCTAACTTGCATTTCCTCTAAACAAGACAACTTAAAAGAGGACAGTTAAGTTTTCAAAAATCTGCCAGATCAGCCAATACAATCTAGAGTTCCATGTGGTACAAATGCAGGAAAAATCGGATGTGGGGTTCTTTAGATAAAATAATGACCCAAAACCAAAGAGGGTAAAATAAAGACTGACAGAACCTAAAGTAAACGTCAGTAACAGGCTGTTCTGGTGAAGGTAGTAAAGTTTTGTTTTTCTAATATGAAGTGTAGTGCTACCTGATAATGTGATGTTAACTCATGTAAATGTGTTTGATTTATTTTAGCCATTTTACACAACTCTATTCACACCACATTGCTCACTGCATGTGTGAATTAAAGGCCTCAGTTCAGTTATGCTATGTTATGAACAAAAATTCAAATTACTTCTGAAGATAAGTCCTGTTTGAACCTGGTTTATTTGAACACGACTCAAATACAGTTTATTGCATAACTGCATGACAAAGGCCTTCGGACAGTACAGAAAAAGGTATCGTGAAGAATGTAGGGAGGAGAAAATCTGGGCAGAGAGTGGAGGGTAATGCACAATCCATTCTAAATAAACATAGCCACTCTTAAATTTATATAAGGAAAGCAAATTCGCAGGTTGGCTTGAAGTATTGTCCTCACTCATATACCACCCTATGACATTTAGTTGACATGCTTTGAAATAAGAAGGAATCCTGGGTATTTTTTTGACAAGACGGAAGTGTTTCCAGAAGGGATACTTTATCACAAGAAAAACTGGGAACTCCGTGGGAATAATTTCTCACTTCTAAAGGATTCAAACTGTGAAGTTCATCAGAGAGTATGGAGTCAGCACACATGCAGATTCTAAATCATACTCATGAAGTGAACTTATTTTAGAACAGCAATCATAGAGGCAAAAGAGAAAACAATAGGCGCACAATTAGGGAAGTGAGAATTAAAAGAGGAATTGCCTTTAATGGCAAAGGAATGCAAGCACATTTTCCTCAATTCAGTGGTAAATCCTGGCCTATCCAGAGTGATAATTCTGGGCTCCTTACTCCCTTTCTGCTAATATTCTAGTTCACATCTGCATTTTTGATGAGTTTTCATGTTATCTTTTTCTATTTTTAAAGGTTTGGTATTTCAAAATTGAAGAACCCTCACCCCCACGTGTAAATTAAATCTAACCTCCAGATAGATCTTGCCTTTCTTATCTCCAAGGTGGGGAAATTGATTACCTCTCAGAGGCAGCAGGAAGGTGGACTCCTTTGCTTTAATAGTTAATCTGAAAAGAAGTAAGAAAGTAGTTAAATCAGCGCTTATGTTATCACATGAAGACCTTTCATTATGCCTTTTAGTTTTCTACACTTTTCTGAAATGGTTTTTCATCCAAAATGTAATGCCAGTTATCATCAGTGATATATCAGTGATATGCAAAGTCAGAAATGAATTCCATTTCCATCCTAGACCAGACTCTGGATGCTGGAGGAGGAGGGGAAGATGTAGCTGGCAAGGGATCAGACCAGTAATCTAGGGGCAGGGAGGGCATCAGACGAGCAGCGGTCCCTGAATGTCTCTGGGGATCTCTGGAGACAGCATTTCTAGAGTGCAGGCTGTGAGTTTAACACACTGTGCATTAATCTGATAGTTTTTCCAGCCACTAGCATTTGAAATTTTTCATTTAGTAAATAGTGAAAGTATACATTAGGATTGGTAATGTTTTGACAAAAACTGACAATAGCCGGGACTTCAACGCTGCAGGAAAGCTGAAACACTTCCCTTGCTGTACTGCCATAGCCATGACCTCCCTGCATGCTGCTGCACGTGTTCATCACAGACATGCTCACATCACACCAGACAGTAATGGGGTGTGTGAGGCAGGGACTCATCTGGATCCCATGTGTATAGGCCGTCAGTACATCTTACCCGCCCACGAACTAAACTTTGGTTCATATTAGACTAAAGGTAATAGTAATAATTTATTGAAAGCTACTTTTAAAACAGATCATAGTAGTGATCATTTCTTTAAATACTGCGTTTACCAGTTTCATCTATTTAGCAGCTCCTTGTGCTACCTAAGACGAAGTCTAAGCACGAGGTCCCCCAGTATCCCACCCTTACTTGTCTTTCCTATTTCATCTCCTTTTGCTTCTACTCATGCCCTAAATTTAGCCAAATATTGCTTCTTCTTGTTTCACAGATGTTCCATCGTCTCTGCTTTTCTCAGAGATTTTGTGGTCTTCTTGTTCTGCCCTCCGGCTGGGATCTCCCCTGTTCTCCTGAACCCTCAGGACCTAGTTCCCACCTCTCCTCTGTGAAGCTTCTGCTGTTCCTCCCAAGCATTGCTGGTTGTCCTGTCCACATGGTGCTATGACCACTGGTCACTTACCACATGTCATTATAATAATTTCTCAGCTGTCTGCTCTTCTTGCCAGAATCAGAGTTCCTTGTAGCCTGGTGACATTTCAATTCAGGAGGATCTAGTCTGTTGTACATTTTCTCCACTCGTACATGTATTATTTTTAGTTTCTACTGACACTTAGGAACTTAAAGCTTTCAAGTACTGTAATGAAAGTATCAATCAACAGTCAACCAAGAATCCTCTAGGCAGTGAAAATACGCTTCAGGAATGGAGGCTTTCTTAGATCGTGGGGGTGGGGGGAGGAAGAGAAAAAGAAAAAGGAGGAAGAAAGGGAGGAAAGAAGAAAGAATGACGCTAAGAGAATATGTCATTGGCAGAAGAGAACAGTCACAGTCACAGTCAGTGGAGCGAGAGTTAAGTTTAAGTGGAAAGTAAAGTGATAAAAACGAAATCCTGAAGCATTGAGAAGGAAGAAAAAGCTGTGAACAAAAATACTGATCCAGTTGAGATTTCTAAATTGTATTGGAAAGTTCAAACAGAAACATCAGCACTGTGACGTGGATATAAACGCATGTACAAGGACTTAAGGTATTTACTTAATAAATGGAGTAGGGTAAAGGGACATAGAGGTAATTTTTTTTATAACTCGGTCATACTGATAAAATGACAACAGTAATCTGTGTAAGTGGCAAATGTGTCATGTGATACTTAATGCAAACATATAACTGTGCCAACTGATACAATCAAAACACTATAAATAAAAATGGTATTCCAACAATGTTCACATAGCCTACAAGAAGTATAGAGAATACAAAACATAAGAACACCATGCAAAGATAACAATCAAAATAAAAACAACAAAAATACAAAAAGAAAATGGAAGGAGAGTCTGCAGATATTGATAATTACATTCAGATTACATGGACTAAATATACCACTAAATACACAGAGCTAAGCAGAGTCACTTACAGTAACATGACCTACTGACAAGAACATACTGAATATTTGAGGAATACTTCAAATATAACTGTACAGGCAGACTGCAAGTAAAACCAGGAGAAAAAATACATCGCGTCAACTTTAATCAAAGGGAAGCGGGATGAGCTAGTTATTTTTGAAAATTAACAAAGCTGACAGACCTCCAGGAAGATAACAAACCAAGATCCCCTAACCATGGCCCTCACCCTTCCCAGTTCTGACCCTAAGCCTGAGTTCCAGCCTGGGGAGGGCAAGTTTGAGCCCCTCCCCTTGCTGGGCGGCAGCAGTGAGCCCTGGCTCCTGTCAGCCTCATGATCGCCGGGGAGACTGAGGCTCTCCCATGGCTGTCTTGCTAAGCTAGGATATGCAGTAGGGCAGATTCATTACACGCATTTTTGACTTATTATATTTTTCATTTATGAAAGCTTTATTGGGCTGTAACCCTACCATATATAGGTGAAGAGGCATCTGTAGGTGAGAAGATGCTTACCTGGGCCACAGAGTTACTTTGAATCCTGGAATTTTTTATTATACAAATTACCAATATTAGGAATGAAAGGAGTTATCACTATAGATCCTATAGACATCAAAAGGATAATAAAAAAATACTATCAGCCACTCTACACATAAAAGTCTATGTAGATATAATGGGCCACTTCTTTGAAAAACAAATTGTTGTTTTATCCAATGTGAAATAGATAGTTTGGGGAGCTCATAACAATTAAGAACATTTAATTTATATTCAAAAATTGGCAGATACACAATAAACACAAAAATATATTTCCATATATGAGCAATGAAAATGTGAACCCTGAAATAAAAAATGCACTAAAATTTACAGTACTTCAAAAGTATGAAGTACTCAGGTATAGTTCTAATGAAACAATAACAGAATTTGTATGTCAAAACTGCATAATAATGAAGAAATAGAATTAAATAAATTATAAATAAATGGAGAAACATATTGTGCTTATAGTTTTAAAGTCTTAGCATAGTATAGACAACAGTTGTCTCCAAATTGTTATGTAGGTTTAGTGCAGTTCCTATTAAAATTCTACCATTTTTAAAATGTGTAAATGAGATTATTCTTAAATTTTTATGGAAGTAAAGTAAAACAGTAGCTAAAACACTATTGAAAATTTAGAGTAAATTGTGAGGAATTAGTTTACCCAATTTTAAGACTTATTACATAGT